CCCCGAGCTGTCCCCCGTGCTGTCCCCCCACCCCCATGCCACCCTGCCGAGCGCCCTGCTGACTCCTCGCTGTCTGCCCAGCTCTGCAGTGGTCTTGTCTGCCTCTGCTAGTGCCCTCACCCTGGCAGGGCAGTCTTGGTTACCAAACACCTGCACAGGCTCCAGAGATCCGCCCCCCGAGGCCCCGTCGTGAGTGCCTTACGCTCTGGCGTGGTGCATCCTGTGGGTCGGGCCACATGGCGTGCTACAAGCCAAGCGACGAGGCTTCCGGCCCTCGCTCCACTGCGCCGTCTGTGGGTCTGACAGACTCACAGTGGGGTTGCCAGCCTCCCCAGGAGGCCCCAGCAGCCTCCAGGCCCCACCTGCTCCTCCTCCCCCCAGCTCCTGGCGCGCCCCAGCTGTCCAGTCTCCGCGGCCTGCCTTCTCTAGAGCATCCCAGAGCTGGCGTCACCCCTTTCTGGCCTGCATCCCCCAAGTCTGCAGTCTGGCCGTCCCGTGGTCTGTCCACCCTCTGCCCCAGCACAGAAGGTGCTGCAGGCCTCACCCGCTCCCTACGTGGGCGCTCTTGGTGGTTATGCTGAGGCCCTGGCCCAAGGCCCTGTGGCGCATGGACACCGCGAAGCTGTGGCCTCGGCACACACGGGCGCTTCCTCAGCAGTCCCGTGGCCCTGGCCGCCGTGGGTGGTGTTGGGCAGAGGCTGCAGCCTCCCCGGAGCATCCACCAGCGTGGCCCCGTCCCAGATTCCCACCAGCGGCGCCTCGTCCTTGTCCTTCCCCATGGAGAACGAGGCGCACCTGCCAGCTCCAGCCCTCCCCGAGGCAGCCGGGAGGATGCTGCCGGCTCGCTGGCAAGGGCCAGGTGTGCGTGTTGGGACCTTGGGGGGCCGTGCTGCGCTGTCAGCCTGGCTGGCGACAGCCCCATAGTAGCCCTGTGCTGTGCCAACTGGCCCCCGAGGATGGCGAAGGCCGCGCTGCCAGGCACCCCAGGCTGGGCGGGGCTCAGGTTCCTGCCTCCCCCAGGGACACGTTACCACAGAGTGCACACACCCCGTCCCAAGGGGATATGCATGTACCCGTGGGAGTGGTGTTCCAGGACACATGTGTGCCTATGGGAGGGGTGTTCCAAGAGGACACGTGTGTGCCTGGGGGCCCTCCCACCACGGGCACAGACAGGAGCTGGCGGGAAGTCCTGGTGGCAGCGACAGCCGTGCAGCATTCAGGCAGGCAGACATGGGGGGAGGCCGTCCCCGGGGCTCTGAGTCTACCCCCGCCCCCGGGGCCAGGACCCCGTGAGGACCTGCGTGCTGACCGCACTGCGGGCGGACTGCGTGGACAGCTCCAGCCTCGTGAAGGGCCGTGCCCGTGCATGTACGTGTTCAGGAGCGCTGCGCTGGGGCTGCTGCGTCCAGAGGAAGGTCAGGAGCCACGGGGCATCCTCGTAGCACTGACGGCATTCTCGGGGAGGCTCCTGCCATGGGCGGAAAGGCCTGGCCTCCCACCCATGTGGCCTGCAGCCCACCCCCACGTGGCCTGCTAGCGTGGTTCAAGTCCCAGCCCACGCATCTTGAAAAACATGTCAGATGTAAGTGCTTGTGTGCCTCAAATCCCAACAGGATGGAGAAATGAAGGGTTTATTGTGTGCTCATGCCCCATTGGGGGTACTTTCTCTCCCTCTCTCTGTCTCTCTCTCTGCCCCTCTTTCTACAAATACACATGTCCTCTGGCAGTTTTTTAAAAAGCTAATTTTTCTACTTGATAACTAACAAATGGTTAAGTTAAATGTTGTTAATATACTTATTAGTGTATGAACTTGATGAATTTCTTTGGACACTTAAGAACATATGAGGGCCAACAGCCGCCCCCACGTGGCCTGCATCCCTGGGCCCTGCCAGGGGAGTGGGTGATGGCCAGCAGGGGCCTGGCCTGCCGGCCCCCGACAGGTGCGGCCAGTGGCTCATCGCTGCCTACCGGGCACTTCTCCAAGCTGTGCATGGCTTTGGGGCTGCTTAGAGGACACAGAAGGAAGTGGGCACGAGCAGCCCAGTCGGTCGGTTCCGGGCAGGAGCCGGACCACTACCGGGCCCTGATGGGCCATCCCGGCCCTCTGCTCCGACCCTGTGCCCCAGCCAACCGGCGTCCATGGACAAGCCGTCGTGCCCATCAGAGCGAATGGCCAGGGCAGTTTCTGAGCCGACCTGTCGGAAGCGCCTCGCTCGCCCTTGTGCACAAGCCTGGTCCCCAGTCGAGCAGCAGGAAGTCGCTG